GAGTTTGGTCAATGACATGAGACAAAGTATATGTGAACTGCTGTATGAAAAGTGAATTTACTCTGTAAATCTTCACCCAAATCCTAAAAAAAAAAAATACACCCTACGCTAACCCTGCCTCGTTAACATAACAAAGGCAACCCATTCCCAAATGAGATGGTAACCACAGGCATAGAGGTTAGCATAGCCCATATTACTGGGGGACATAATTCAATCCATAGTACTGCCTGACATTTTTTTTAATCTGTTCATTGATTCTTTCACCTACCAGGTCAGCAACCTGAGGAGATAGGTTTAGTCTTGTTTTGTTCATTGCTGTATCCCCAGTGCCCCCACACAATGTCTGCCACAGTTGGTGCTCGGTGTTGAATGAATGAGGTTAGGGCAGCCGGTGAAGGTTATTCCGTCTTTCCCATGACCCCCAGCACTGGGATCTGTGCCTCCCCAAGCAACAGCACTGAGCACAGCCCTTGGTGCATAATAGGGACCCTGTAATGCTGCAATTAGATTGCAGCTATTTTTGGTCCCTTGCAAGTTCAGGCTAATTTTAGTTCAGAGAAAAACTGGCTCCAATTACCTCTGTTCACCCTTAGGGTCAGTTGCTATTTTACTGGGCTCACCTGTGGCCCTCCCTCCTCAGTGGCTGCCCTGGCCTTTAAACTAGCTGGGAAGAGTCATAGCACCTGGGGCTGGATCTTCCAGCACCCTCCAGACCAGAAGGAGCTGCTTCCTAACAAGCTGCTAGGTACTCCACCAGGGGACTCAAAGAGCCTAGGTTCAAATCCAGCCTCCTCTACTCCAGCTTTGTGTCCTTGGGCCAGCAGCCTGACCTCTCTGAGACTGTTTCTTAACTAAGGATTAAATGAACTCATGCATGCTAGGTCAGGTTTGAGGAAGGTACTTACTTATTACTACTACTTGTGAATAAAGAAGAGGAGGAGCTGGGGAGGAGGAAGGAGTTCAGGGTGGGAAGGGGGTCTCAGTGGGAGGAGAGGGGCTCACAGAAGGGAAGGGTGTTCAGAGAGAAGGAGGGAATCTGAGACCTTGTCAGGAGACCAGGGCTCCTGGAAGGGATGAGGGGGGGTGTCAGGGAAGTGGGTGTACTCAGAGTTCAACCTTGTGGACTTCAGGGGCAGGTTTGTTAGGAAGGTCCTGGGTGGCAAAAATAAGGCATCTGGCTGTAAACCAGAAGGTCAGCAGTTCAAACCCACCAGCCACTCCAAGGGAGGAAGATGAGGCAATCTACTTCCATAAAGATTCACAGCCAGGAAACCCAATGGGGGTCGCTAGGAGTCGGAATGCACTTGATGGCAGTGGGTGTGGTTAGTAACCTAAAGGTTGGCCGTTTCAAACCATCCAGAGGCACCGCTGAAGAAAGGCCTGGTGATCTGCTGCTGTAAAGATTACGGCCAAGAAAACTCCACGGAGCTGTTCAGCCTTGGGTGTTTAGGCTTGTTGGGCCCTCAGGAACACATACTCTCTCCCATTCTGCCGCCTCCTGGCACCAGGCAGTCTGGTAACTCAGACCCTGAGTAACTCGAGGGGTTCAGTCAGGCATCTTTTGTATCTCTTTAATATCCTCCAGGCCCAGTGGGCCTCCCTGTTCCCACTACCACACTCCATCTCTGCCTTTAAGGGTCTAGGCCCGGGTGCCCCCTCCCCCAGCCCGAGGACTAAGGCACCAGGTGGCTGCAGCAGGCCGGCCAGACAAAGAAACATACAGAAGGACAAACACTGCGACCAGACAAGCAGGAGGGGAGGGGTGGGGCGGGGCTCAGGCCCTTTTGGGGCTCCCACAGGCTCTGGGCTCGTCCTGGAGCCAAGGGGAGGTCCACATAGACCCCAAAGGGGACCAGTCGGGAGGAACAGAGGAGCCATGCGGGGTGGGCTCCTCACTTGCCCCCCTTGCGGGACAGACACCTCGGGAGGCAAGAGAAAGTCTGCTTGACACGTGCCAGCAGCGGCAGCGGCCGGTGGGTTTCCCGGGGAGTCCGAGGCACCAGGCGCTGTAGTGTTCCCTCGGAGGTCCCGGAAGGCGGTGTGGTGGAGGCGGCCGAGGTGGTGGAGCCCTGACGGCAGCGCTTGCACAGCGGCAGCAGCGCGCGCATCTCCTCCTCGTCCCGGAACGGGCTCTCTCCAAAGCGCTCCTCCAGCAGCCGGCGCAGCTGGGGTGGGGGATGCGGTGGGGCGTGAGTCAATGCCGTGCTCCAGGAAGGGTCAAGGCAGCCGGCCCCAGCCTGGACCCCCTCGCCAAGCGGGCTAAGGAAATCTGGGCAGCCCACCCCCACTCCTGCACAGCAATTTCTCTCAAGCTCCGCGCCTGTCCCAGCTTCCCACACCCCGCTAAGCTCCTCCCCTTCCTCAGCATCCTCCCAGCGCCAAAGAGTTTCCACCTCCTCCCGGAATTCCTCTTCATCTCTCAGAACTCCTATCCCCTCAGAGACTCTATCTTCCGGATCTGCTAAAGGGACCCCTACCTACACTGTGGTGACCACATTAACCCCTTCTCTCCCTCCCCTGTGTTCACATGCACTGGCCTTAACAACTCTATCCACAGGCTTGTTCCTGCTAGTAGTAGTTTCTTCCGATGAAGCCAGGCAGATAGGCCTTTCGGAACCAGACTGCCACCTGCTGAGCAGTGCACGCTGCTTCCTGGCTTTCTCTCTCCTGTCTCATTCCTTGTGCCCTGGGAAGCCTCTGTTCTTGACATTTATTTGCAGGAGCTGTGGTGGTGTGGTGCCTAAGGCATGTGACTGCTAACCAGAAGGTTGGCGGTTCAAACCCAATAGCCACTCGACGGAAGGAAGATTGGGCAATCTAGTTCCCTAAAGCTTTACCACCTCTGAAGCCCAAAGGGGGTCGCTATGAATTGACTCAACGTCAGTTGAGTTTGGTTTGGTTTCTATCTGCCCAGATAGGGAAGGAATGGCTTTGGCTGCATCAAGGACCTGGACTGGGCACAGGAGTGGTGGGGCATAGATTGTTGTTGTTGTTATGTGCCATCGAGTCGGACCCGACTCATAGCGACCCCGCCTTAGGTTTCCGAGGCGGTATCACTACGGAAGTAGATTACCCAACCTTCCTTCCAAGGAGTGGCTGGTGGGTTTGAACCGCCAGCCTTCTGGTTAGCAGTCAAGTGCCTTAGGCACTACGCTACCAGAGTTCTCAGGACACAGATAAGACAGTTCTTGGCAAGGGAGGCAAATGCTCAAATGCCTCGGGGATCATATAAGCAAAGCAGGCAGTGGGGAGTGCTGGGACCTGGTCAAACTGCAGGGTCCACAGTCTTGCATAAAGGCATTCAAAATTTTAATAATAATAATAAAACCCACTGGCTGTCCAAACAAAATACCCCTGGGGGCTGGATTAGCTCTAAGGCCAAGTTTTCAAATCCAGGTCTGCCAGGTCTGAGGCACAGAATCAGTTCTTTCCAATTGGTGCTCAGCTCAAGTGGGAAGAGGTGCCAGGGTCTCCCACCCCGAGCCCAGCCCTAGCCCCTACCTTCCGGGAATTGCCCCAGCCAAACTCCTCCAGCTGCTGCTTGAAGCCTGGGTTGGGGTTGGCGATGGGCCGATTGGCCTTGATGGCTTCAAGCACATCACGCCAGCCTAGCCCTGTCACAGTCATCACATATGCCGTCACAATGGTAGTGCTGCGGGAGATGCCTGCAAAACTGAGACCCCCCGCGCCCAGGCTTCAGGTGAGCCCCAATCTCCTCCATGCCCCACCCCCAGGCACCCCACTGCCCCCTCAGCTGTCCTGCTCTTGCCCTTCTGGAGCTCCAACCATGAGGAACCTGTCTGAATCTCTCTTCCCACCCCCAGGCCATTGTCCATGCACTCCCTCTGACCTGAATATTCCCCCTGGTGCTCTCCCACAAGAACAGCCTACGTTGTCAGTGAAGGCAAACATGGGTATACGGGTGGATAGATGGGTGGTCAGGCTGAACTATTAGGTATGTCTATGTAGCTGGGAGTGTACCCAAAACCATGTATAGGGTTGGCAGGCAATGGTCCTATAAGTGTATTTGTATGATCTGTAAGAATTCCCAGGTGTACAGTAGAGCTGACAAGGGACAAGGTTGTAGTCACTTCTTGGTCACAGCCAGCTACCCAGAAGGACCAAGTAGTTGAACCTGTGGGCTCGGGACCACAGTCACAGGGGACATCAAGCTCAAGTGGCATAACATACTACACAAAACATTGTTCCACCTCTTACTTTGGCGAGTAGCCCCTGGGATCTTAAAAGCTTGTAAGCAGCCATCGAGATGCAATGATGGGTCTCTCCTTGTCCAGAGCAAAGAAGAATGAAGAAAACCAAAGATTCATGGAAACAATTAGTCCTGGCAACTGGTACACCATGCGATCCGCAGCCTATATGACTATGAGACCAGAAGAACTAGATGCTGCCTGCCTACCACTGTCAACCTCTTGGAAGGGGATCTATGTAGGAGATTCTGGAAAGAGTGGGAGAACAATGTGGAACAAAAGTCAAAATCATTTGGAAAAAAAAAGGGGGACCAGGTTTGCTGGTCTAATAGAGCCTGGTGGAACCACTGAGACTATGGCCCCTAGCTGCCCATCAGGTCTGGAATTGAACCCATTCCTGTGGTTACCAGCCAAACAAAAGACAGGCATCTGAGTTGAACATTTACCTGAGGTAGACACACTCCTTGGAGAGAACAATCATGGGAGAAGGAAGAGCTGTTTATACACAGGGAGACAGCTCATGGGGTAGGGGTGCACAGAGGGATAGACACAGGGAAGAGGTAACTATCGGGAGGAAGTGGGAGAGGAGCTGTTGCATTGAGTTAAATTGTAGTCAATGTCATGAGACAAAGTGTATGTGAACTGCTGTATGGAAAGTGAATTTGCTCTGTAAATTTTCATCCAAATAAAAAAAAAATAAAGAACAGCCTAGGGGAACATCACTTCATTCATTCATTCAACAAACATTTCTTGATCATTTGTTGTTTTTCAGGGGGAGTTATCTAGACATGGCCTCTGTCCTGCTGGAGTTTACAGTATGGTGGGGGAGATGGATGCTAACCAGAGAAGCAATTTTAGGCAGGGATCAGTGCTTGCAAGGGAGTTCAGGAGGCTAGGAGAGCCTATAGGAAGGAGTATTAAATCTAGTTGGGGGAATATAGGGAGGATTCAGAAAGGGATTTTCAAGAAGGCATTATAATATCAAACTGAGCCCTGAAGGATGGGTAAGAGTTAGTCAAGAATGTCCTAACAGTGTGTGCAAAGGTCCTGAGGTGGGAGCATGATAGATTTGAAGCACAGGGAGGCCAGTGAAGCTGGAGTGAGAATAGAGGGGAAAAGCCTGAGAGAGAAGGCTGGAGAGGTTGAGAGGGGTCAGACCAGATAGGGCCCTGTGGGCTGTGGTGTGGAGTTTAGATTTTATCCTGAGTGGGATGGAGAGCCATGGAAGGGCTTGGAGCCAAAAGACATCATGAGTTGCTGCCACAGAGGGAGGCCAAGGACCCTCTGCCCCATCTAGCCCTTGAGGACAGCACTTATCACCGAACATGGAGCTGGCTTCATGGCTGGGGCTCTGGTAGAACCAGCTCCAGCCTGGTACAGGATAGATGCTAAGTGAGATGTTAGAGAATGAATGATCCTTTCCCCACACTTATTCAATCTGTATCCTGAGCAAATAATCTGAGAAGCTGGACTATATGAAGAAGCACGTGACATCAGGATTGGAGGAAGACTCATTAACTACCTGCAATATGCAGATGGCACAACCTTACTTGCTGAAAATGAAGAGGACTTAAAGCACTTACTGATGAAGATCAAAGACTCCAGCCTTCAGTATGGATTACACCTCAACATAAAGAAAACTAAAATCCTCACAATTGAACCAAGAAGCAACATCATAAATGGAGAAATGACTGACGTTTTCAAGGATCTCATTTTACTTGGATCCACAATCAATGTCTATGGAAGCAGCAGTCAAGAAATCAAATGACATGCAAATCTGCTGCCAAAGACCTCTTGGAAGTGTTTAAGAGCCAAGATGTCACTTTGAAGACTAAGGTGCACCTGACCTAAGCCATAGTATTTACAGTAGCATGTGAAAGCTGGACAATGAATAAGGAAGACCGCAGAAGAACTGATGCATTTGAATTGTGTTGGCGAAGAATATCGAGTATCACCATGGACTGCCAGAAGAACAAACAAATCTGTCCTAGAAGAAACACAGCCACAAATCTGTCCCAGAAGAAGTGCAGCCAGAATGCTCCTTAGAAGTGAGAATGGCTAGACTTCATCTCTTGTACTTTGGTCATGTTGTCAGAAGGGACCAGTCCCTGGAGAAGGGTATCATGCTTGGTAAAGCAGAGGGTCAGTAAAAAGGGGAAGACCCTCAACGAGATGGACTGACACAGTGGCTGCAATGATGGGCTCAAGCACAGCAAAGATTGTGAGGACGGTGCACGACTGGGCAGTGTTTCATTCTTTTGTATGTGGGGTCGCTCTGAGTTGGAACTGACTCGATGACATCTAACAACCACCACCACCTCAACAACAGCCGGGAAGACTCAGGGTTCTGTCTCCCAGCCTAGGGCTCCCCGCTGCCCTGCACTCTCAGACCCGGAGGAGAACAGGGGAGAGCCAGAATTACTGGAGAGTGCTGGTCTACCTGCATGACCTCACCTATTCCTCCCAACAGCCCTGTGAATGCAACATTCCTTTCTCCATTTTACAGATGAAGAGACTGAGTCTCAGGGAGGAACAACCAAACCACTTGGTCATGGCCACACAGCTGGTAAGAAGCAGAAAGCCTGGTTGGCCTGTACCAGGAGAAGGGCGGACTATGAAGCATTGTGACAGGCAGGAGATCTCTTCCAGCCTCTACCTTCCCGGCAGGATGAGTGTGTTTGGGATGGAGGGCAGCCAGTTCTTCTCCCCTCAATCCCTCCCCCAACTCCCCCCTGAACTCACCAGTGCACTAGGCAGTTCCCCCCATTGAGGCGGCAACAGTGGATGAAGTTGATACATTCCTTGAAGTGCTTTTTGCTAAAGAAAAAAACAATAGGGTAGGGAGCCCTGGGGGACAGAACTCCTGGGAGTTGTCCCCCTCCCCACGCACAGGATGACAGGGGACAAAGAGCCTGGGGTCCTTAGGTCAGCCGGCATGTACAGTGAATAGTGAACAGGGGTCAGAAGTACAGTGTGAAGTAGAGGTGTGTGTGTGAAGGAATGATTCCAGATGGTGAAAGGCCAGTAATGGCAAATCCTGCCATACAGGGAGCAGCAGCCCAAACCACCTCTCCAGGGTGTGTGGTGGATCCTATCCATATTCACAGAATGTTTATCTTGGCCTTTCAAGGGAATGGGTGGGAGGAGACACAGAGTCCTACTTCTCTGGGGTCTGCCATCAAAGCAACTGGGAACAATGACAATGACTGGGAGCAAGATTCTCAAGGGGCAGGAGTGGACTCTGTGTGTGTCTGGGCCCACCCCAGACTGGGAGGTACAGGATGCTGCTAATAGCACTAACAAAAACCCTACCTCCTGAGCCTTTATTCCATACCAGACCCTGTCTTGGATCCTCTTCTCATTGAAAGCCCCCTTGAAGCTGATCTCACCAGAAGAGGCTCAGAGAGGGGAAATGATTTGTCCAGAGTCTAACAGAAAGTAAATAGTAAAGCCGAGCTAGGAACCAGACATCTTAACTCTTGAGGTCAGGGACAGGCTGGGCCTGACCTTTTCAGATCTATTGGCGCATCTGATCCCAAGAGGGAGGATACCTTCTCTATTTCATAGCTGAGAAGACTGAAGCCTGAGGAGGTTAAGAGTCTTGGCCAGGGGCACACAACAAGGGTGTGGGTGACTCAAACCTGAGTCTGTCTAGGTGGCCACCCAGGCTGGGTCTCCAGGACGGACTGATGGTCTGAGTCCTCTCTGGTCTCTGAGACCACCTCACTCCACACCATCCCTCCAACCACCACCACAGGAGACAGCTATCTCTCCATCCAAGGAACTTACATGGGAACTTCTGGGGTGTCAGCCACTGGGATACGAAGGTAGGTGATATCCTACAAGTAGAAAACACACTCAGGCAGTGGGGGGGTGGGGGCATCTCCTTGCCCATACCTCCCCTCACCCCATGCCTTAGCCTGATTAAGCTGCCCAAGCACCCTGTGACCCCAGGCCAGTTCTCACCCCTATCTGGGTCTCTGTTGTTCTGTCTGTCCAAAGAGAGTAGATGCCATCTCTGAGGGCCCCCCAGTCTTGACTGTCTCTGATTCCAGAACCTTCTGAGCAGATGCCAAATATCCTAACCCTGTAAGTGACTTGGGCACAAGGACTTGATAAAAAGGACCCCGAAGCCCTTGACCTAATGTCTGGGAAAGGGCTACTTAGAGTGAGTCCCCCCAAATGGGACCAAAATCTCACACACAGAGCAAAGCAGAGTTGATTATCTTGCAACAGAAAAAAGAAAAAGATATGAAATAATCTTGTATTTTATGAACTGTGGTTAAAAATCATGTGCTAATCATTAGAATGATTAGAATGGGAGCTCTGGTAGCATAGTGGCTAAGACACTTGCCTGCTAACCAGACGGCTGGCGGTTCAAACCCACCAGCCACTCCTCGGAAGGAAGGTTGGGCAATCCTACTTCTGTAGTGATACTGCCTCGGAAACCCAAGGAGGGGTCGCTATGAGTCAGGGCCGACTCGACAGCACATAACAACAACAACAACAATCATTAGAATAATCAAGGAATGAACCAAGTGTTTGTAATTTTCCCTGCAAAATTGCTACATCCCTTGCTTCACATTTACCCTTCATAAAAGATCATACAGTTCATTTTTGCTCACATGTTCCAAGGACCTCGCTGCTTTGCTCAATGACTTCCCTTATCTTTTGATATTCAAATGCCTCTTTTCAGGTGCCTAGCCCATCCCTGGCCAGGTCCTCCTTTGTCAATGACTTTGTGTGAGATTCCAGCCATTCTCCAACTCACTGTCCTCAAGGTCACTGCAATCCTGCATCTTTTGCAAGGTTTGCAGTTTCACTTGGCAATGCACTTGGCCTTGAGTTTGCACAGCATTCTCAAGGCCTGACTGGTAAATTCACCAATGGGTGGGGAGGGAGTAAAGCTTGTGAGAAGAGGGGAGGGCTGCTGGAACAGGGGCTCATTTTGTAAGCAGTCATTTCATTAGTAAATATATTCACGACTTAACAACCTTGTCTATGCAATCTAGTGACTGTATATTCCAAATCCTATAAAACAAGGCTGTCCTACAAAGCACAATCAGACTCGACTGGCCTGGAAATTGCATCTCTGGATGAAACTGACAATCAGAGATCATTAGAGGTTGCTCTTGGAAATCACCAATCCTTACCACAAGGACATAGGACACAGGGAAACAGACCCAGAGAGGGGAAGGGCCCTGCCCAGGGTCACACAGCACGTTTGTGGCACAGCCTGGTCTCCGTCTCAGATCTCCAGAGCCCTTTGCAGGCCACTGTTCTTTCCCTTCCATGGACAGAGTGAATGACATAGACCCAAACAGACTAAGAGGAAGGGGCTCTATAAGAATAGTATTAACCTTATCATTATATCAGCTGTATTTATTTAGCAGCTACTATATGGTGTGAGCTCTGGTGGCGTAGTGCCTAAGGCATCTGACTGCTAACCAGAAGCCTGGCGGTTCAAAACCACCAGCCACTTCTCAAAAGGAAAGTTGGGCAATCTACTTCTGTAGTAATACTGCCTAGGAAACCCAAGGAGGGGTCACTATGAGTCGTATCCGACTCAATGGCAGTGTGTTTGATGGCTGTCATTTTCAATCACTTTCTCAACAACTCAGCAAGGTAGGTTCTATTATAAAATCCCCATTTTAGAGACCAGGCAACTGAGGCTCAGAGAGGTACAGTCCCATGCCCAGGGTCACAGTAGGAATAGTGATAATGACGTGAACTTCGTTGGTTCTTTTGACTGCAGCACGTATAGTCTGGATTTACTTCTTTCCTCCTTTGGGTCATAACACCCACTGACCCTCCCTTGTCTCAGAACCAATTCCTCTGAACCATGCTTTACTGGCACAAAGTATCTTCGCTGCCCCTGAAGACAGCTTAAAGCCTCACAACAGCCTCCTAGGGCAGACAGGGCTAAGGAGACAGAAGCCCAGAGAGGTGAAGTTTCAGCCCAAGGTCACACAGCAAAAACACACAGCCCAGACTTATCTATCTGGAATCATCCATCTGGTTGAGTTATGGGAAACCCACATGGGGGCCTTTTCAAGGTTCAATGTGAAGCCTCTGGGCCTGTGTTCACATCTTGGCTCCTTCACTTTCTGGATGTGCAACCTTAGGGGAGTTAGTTTACCCCTCTGGGCCGCAGGTGACAAGGGGTGGTAATGCAAAAAAGACCAATGGTGAAGACCAAATACATTTGTTTGGGTCAATACACCAGTACAAGGCTTGGCACACAACTGGTGCTTGTAAATGGATACTATGGGGTGTGCATCCCCCCACCTGTCTGCAACCTTGGGGTGGGGTGGGGGGGGTAAGGAATACCTGCAGCAGAGGCTGGGGTGACTCGTGGATGGAGATGATGTGTGTGATCTTATTCCTGCCCAGCTGATCCGGGTCTTTGGCATCTGAAAGAAACAAGGTGCTGGAGCCAATCTGGCAGGAGTGACTTATTTGTTGCTGATGGCCAAGAGAGCTAGGCAGCTGGGCTCTCTCCCTGTCCTCCCACTCCACCTTGGCCCACCCTCCCTCCTCACTTCCTGCTCCCAGCATGACAGTCCTGCCACTCCCCAAGGCCTGTCTTGAATCTGGGGCACCCCTAAGTCACGGCCCTGCGCCCTGTGTCTCTCAACTCCACCCATGCTGCTCTTTCCATCCAAAACACCCTTCCCTGGCAGCTCTCTGACCCAGCAATTCTACTTCCAGGAATCTCAGCTACAGAAGTATTTGCTCACACATAGAGGGCTGTGTATAAAGGATGGATTTTTTTTCCTGCAATACAGCTCCTCCAGGACAGTAAACACACCAGAAATCGTTCAAAATGGTCAACAATCTATATGTCCATCAAAAAGGGAAGGAAAGGTTTATATATAGAAGAAAACTCTCTTTATTGGTTACCAGAGATGGGGGAAAAAAAAAAAATATATATATATATATAT